TAAAATTGATGGCCGTATGGACGGGCAGCTGTATCGAAGCATCTTGCACGATGAGCTTGCCCAAACCATTGAGTTCTATGACCTTACCACCTCTGATGTCATTTTCCAGCATGGCAATGACCCCAAGCACAAGTCCCGCCTTGTGGAGGAGTGGTTGTCCGAGCAGGAATATTCAGTCCTGCTGTGGCCCTCTTCATCCCCTGATCTCAACCCCATCGAGCACTTGTGGGCCCATCTCAAATGCGAGCTGTCCAAGTATGAGCACCCCACCTCAGGAATGCTCCAGACTTGGGAGCGGATCCAAGAGACCTGGGAGGGGATAGATGCTGCTGTGTGCAGGAGGGTCATTGATAGTATGCCTAGGAGGGTGAAGGCGGTGGTTAGGGCTAAGGGAAAATGGACTAGGTACTGATTTTTTGGTGTCTTTTGCATACTTTGAACATGGCACAAACTGTCAGAGTGTACTTGTGTGTGTATGGATTTTGCCCAGGCACATTATATTGAATTATCAGGGCTGTTTCCCATGAGACATTCTTGTGTAGGCATATGTCTAGCTCTGCCTTAAAATCTGGCATTTAATAAGCTGCATCTCTAAACACTACACACGATTATTCGCCTAGAGAGGCTGAGATGTGGACAATTTCTTCCGTCACTGTAGACAAACCACCATGTTTGTCTCATTCTAGTATATTGTTCTAACTTTGATACTAACCTAGTGCGTGATACCATCTCTGAGTAATGAATTGAGTATGATGATGGGATGCAAGGGGATATACAGTGACGGAAACAATTATCTGGATGTTTTGCACTAACTAGGGTTTTTTTGGCATTCCGACCACTGTACATAAAGTCTAAATGTTTAATGGTGGCACGCTTTTGGAGGGGCACATAGTGGATGTGTTCATAGTGCAATAATCCATATTAGTACATTGGATCTAACTTTGTGCCAAAAGATGTCCAGGGAGTACATCCGGACAATTGTTTCCCATGACAAAGAGCAACTTCCGAACAGCGTTCCTAGTACCTAGTCCATCGACCCTTAGCCTTGATCACCACCCGCACCCTCCTAGGCATGTTATCTACGAGGTTAGTGCAAACCTTTGCACGGAACTTCTTGCACTCTTCCTGGACCCACAATTTTGCATAAGGGGGTGAGCACTAGGAAAATTGCGAAGAATTTTAGCATATGCAAAAGAAATGTGCATGATTTTTGATTGAATGTGATCTCTTAGTCCTGCCACGCTGAAGCATGACCAAAGATGCCATTAACCAATTGGTCGCGTCTTTTCATGGGTCGTCTCCGTCGTACCGCTGTAGGGTAAAACCACGAACAGAGAGGGGAAAACTAGCGTATACGTTGCGAAACTGAGGGGAACGTAGCACGGTCGATTGTACACCCTTGCACTATTAGAATCACGTTAGGATCCGCAGGACTCGTCACGGTGCAGCAGTCGAAGAAGTCACGACTGTTTGAGATGAATGCTTGAGGTGAGGTATGGTGAGAAAAAGGGTCACTCCAGTGCAACATACTCATGCTCTCCAAGCCATTCCAAGCCATTTGACCCAGCTAGGCTTGGAATGGCTTGGAGAGAATGAGTATGTAGCACTGGAGTGACCCTTTTCCTTACCAGACCTCAACCCGGATATTTTTCCCCACTAGTCGGGGCTTCTTCGACTGCTGCACCGTGATGAGACCCGTGGATTTTAACGTGATTCTAATAGTGAAAGGGTGCACAATCGACCGTGCTATGTTACCCTAAGTTTCGCGGCGGATGCGCTAGTTTTCGTCACTTTGTTCGTAATTTTACCCTACAATGGTATGACGAACACGACCCATGAAAAGACGGGACCAAACGGTTAATGGTCCTGTCTTTTCATGAAAAGACACAACTCAGTGTGGCTAGTCTAAGAGATCACATTCAATCAGAAATCGTGCACAATACTCTTGCATACGCTCAAATCCGTCGCGATTTTCCTAGTGCTCACCCCCTTATGCAAAAGGGTGGGTCCAAGAAGAGCGTGAGAAAATCCATGCAAAGGTTTGCACTAACCTCGTAGACAACATGCCTAGGAGGGTGTGTGTGGTGATCAAGGCCAAGGGTCGGTGGAATAGGTACTATAAACGCTGTTCGGAAGTTCGCGCTTTGTCCTGGGAAACAATTGTCCGGATGGACTCTTTGGATATCTTTTGACACTAAGTTAGATCCAGTGTACTATTATGGATTATATCACTGTGAACACATACACTATGTGCCACTCCCAAAGTGTACCACCATTAAACATTAAGACTGTATGTACAGTGGTCAAAATGCCAAAAAACCCTCGTTAATGCAAAACATCCGGACAATTGTTTCCGCCACTGTAACCTAAGGTGTTGTACTCTCTATGAGCATGCACCTATCTAGCCTATAACATATACAATTATACCGTAATCTCCCGGTATGATGACCCTAGGCCTTATGGAGAATTAAGTGAAAATCGTTTGGGTGGACATTTTAAAGGATGGTAATTAATAAGACCCATGTGCCGTTATTTATTATGTAAGGTGTTTGTTTGTCACATGTTCTGGTATTCCAATCAGGGTTATACAGGGGGTCCTTTGTTTCAAACGGGGGAAAGTAGAATCTTAGCCTCGTTTTGTTCGAGCCATCTAGATGGACACGCGTCGGTTTCTTAGCACCGACGGCTGCCAAATTTACAGCGCTGGCGCGTCGCACGGGCTTCTTGACTGCCAGCAGGAGTCATTACAATGAGGGGGGAGGTTCATTCACGGAGTCTCCCCACGGTCCACCCCATTGAGAGGTTTCACGTGTTAGGCACGCATGACTCCCTCCATCGTCGTGTCTCGCTCCGCCTCACGTCCCTCTCATTCCCGTCTTCACAGGGGGGTAGTCGCTGCGACTAGTCTCATTTTCGGTTATTCAACAAGGTTTTTTAGCAAGCTTGATGTTCCAGGAGATGGCATCTCTCCCCTCTCTCTCAGCTACGTGTAGGATTTTTCCCAGCAACAGCCATATCGGCTCCGCAAATGCTCATAAAGAATCGCGTCTCTAGGCAGACCCGTCCGCACAGCAGACCGTCCCATGGTCATCTTCAAAAGGAAAACGATCCCTAACATTCGAGCACCACCTGGTGAGTTTTGCTTGATGACAGCCTATTTTGTCTCCCTAGCGGTTTCCCCCTTATTATTCCTAACAGTGTGCATGCATTATTGTGCAGGTCTCCTCATCCGGGCCCAGGAGCGAGGCTGTATGGTTGGAGGCCTCGTGCAAGATTGGGTGCAGCACATGTTGCTGCCCTTCATCCGCCCCCCCGCAGGTGTCTCGAGGAGGAAAACACTGCTTGTCATGGACTCCTACCATGGCCACCTGATGGACGGCGTGCTTGGCTCCTTCAGGTGGCACAGGATCACCCCCGCAATCATCCCTGGAGGCTGCACGCCCCTTCTGCAGCCACTTGACGTCGTCATCAACCGTGCCTTCAAGGCGGGCGTCCGGCGGTTCTACAATGACTGGTTCGCCACAGAAGGCATTGACGTGCTGACGCCCGCTGGTGAGCCCGTCTCATATTTGCTGGTATGTAAGTGCCTGCCCTGTTTAAGTCACAATTCAGGAATCTCACCTCTCTGTCTTGCTCTTGATTGCTTACTTGAGCAGGCAATCTGAGGAAGCCACCGCCTGAGTTGGTCCTGCGCTGGATCTGGAACTCATGGGACCTTGTCCCCGAGGACATCATTGTCCGCGCGTTCAAAACGTGCGGCATCAGCAACAACCCCGATGGGAGCGAGGACCATCTGGTCCTCACTCACATGCGCGACGCCGCCGAAGTCGAAGTGCACGATGACGTGCATGCTGCCGGTGTCGTGGAAGAGTGGATCAATCCACTCTACGCAGAGGCCGAGCAGGAGGACGAGGGGGAGGAAGGCGAGGAGGAGGGGGATGGGGAAATGGTTGAGGAGGAGGAGGAGGCAGAGGAGGCAGCAGCAGCAGCGGCAGAAGCGGCATCAGCAGCGGCGGACGAAGAGGCCTCAACTACAGAGTCTTGGAGTTCCCATGGCGAGGTGGACGTCAACACAACCTGAGACATTGAGTCCCTTGAGTAGTAGTAGCTAGTAGCAGTTCGGTGGATGTGTACCGTATCAGTAGGTTCGATGAGTTGGTCTAACATGAGGTGTGCTGCCGTTGATATGCAGTGCCTAGGATTCCATAAGGCAGTATGTAGTGTAGGTAGGATGCAATTGGTATGAAGCAATAGTAGCCATGTAGAACCGTCCTAACTCATGATGTGGAAGTTGAATAGTAGTGCATGACGCATTTTGAAATTGAGCAGAAACTGCCAGGAAAACCTCTTAAAATTGAAGGGGGGGGGGGGGGGGGGGTCCTCAAATGATTTACCCCAAACAGCGGGTCCTCACAATCCCTTAACGATATTAAGACACATGGTCCGGAAAAAAGACCCTGAGTCCCTTTTTCGGTGGGGGGGATAATCATGCAAGGAAAGTACGGTATGTTGACAAGGATCGTTGGCTCTGATGGCCAAGTGTAATGTAGCGCAAAGAGCGTGTGTCGAAGGATTGAGTAACGAGGAAACAATACAATTGAGCAACATAAAAACAACATGGAGCATGGATATAGCTAGCCTAGAGCACACGGTCGTGGCTCGGCAGAGCTGCGACTTGTGGTTCGTAAATTGGCGCGAAGCGCCCAGATCCAGGCCTGAAACAGCAAGGCAGGCAAAATGCGTGCAGTTCGTGAGGAGGCCACATTTGGGTACCGCGATTTGAATTTTGTGGCAGAGCTGCGCGGCAACCCCGTTATAGCAGTGTACGCCTTACCTGACTAAAACCCGTGATAAGTAAATACCATTTCGTGAAACATGACTCGTGGGTGAACGTACAACGAGATCGGTGACAGTTGCATCCAAACCAAAACTTCTGCCCTGTCCTGTCCTAAATCGTCGCGCACCTCCAGCCGCAACTCACGTAACCCCTTGAGCCCTGACCCCTGAGTGTTTGTGTCGTTGGCTTCTCGGTCCTCCCGCCTGAAGCGACAGCTCACGCGAGCGGACGGCCATTATTTGCTGTCAGGACAGCACCGAATGGCGTGCGGATCTCGAGCCCTGCACTCTCAATTCATCGCTCGAGATGGTCGACGACGAGTCATGCAAAGGCGGTTCGGCCTCAGCCATCAGCTTGAGACGACGTGACTGCCCTTGTCGCCATGACGTGACTTGTCGCAGAGGTGAGAAACCGCACAAGGGCTGTCGTCTCAAGCTCACCGTCGGCGCGGTGCTGCTGGGCAATGGAAAACAGGCGCAACGCTGAGTTTACAGTGATGGCTTAAAGCATCCGTGTCTTGCCACACAGTCATTCAGCAACTCATTAACTCAGTGCAGCTCTCTAGTCTCACGTCGTCGGTGCTGCTTTGAGCCAATGGATCCAGCACTGTCCGCCGTCTTCCTCATGCTCCTGCTCGCTCTGCACGCGCCACCATCTCTGTCGCAACAGCCCTCAGCGCCAGTCCCTTCCCCGGCGCCACTCCCCAAACCGCTCCCCCCCGTACCCAGCCCCGCCACAGTTCCTTCCCCGGCGCCCGCGCCCACGTCTACTCCCTCTTCCGCGCCCAGTCCCTCGGTTTCCCCAGCATCGGCGCCGTCCTTCGCCCCCACCCCCGTCCCCTCCTCCTCCCCGGGTCCTGCGCCAGTCCCCGCCGCTGCCCCCACCCCTTCTGGTCCCTCGCCTGCCCCTGCGCCTGCATCCGAGTCTGCTGCTGCACCAGGATCGGCCCCTGCCTCTGCTCCTGCCTCGGAACCAATAATAAGTTCAGCGCCGACTCCTAGCGCCGCTCCCCCTGGCAGCGAGGGAATCTCTCGGCCTCCTGGCAGCGAGGACGGCACTACAGCTCCTCCCGCCCCCGTGCGAGTGCCGGGAAGCAACGAGACTCCAGGCAACGCTGGTGCAGGTGAGCGAAGAGCTGGGAGGATGTGCTGTCGGGTGTATCACTGTATGCGTCATTTGCTCTGCTGACGGTTTCGAGGTTGTATTTCATACCCTGCATGTTTCACTTGCCCTGCTCATGGTTTCTGATTGATGCTGTGTTGTATGGCAGGTCAATTGACTCTGACTTCCTGCTCCATTCTCACGGCTGGTGTTGTGGCTGCTGCAATTCTGGCTCTCTGAGTGCACTTACTCTGCCAGAATTATTGTCAGAGCCATTTCTGTCAGCCAGTGACTTTGACTTTTACCATTGCATAGCTGCACAATGGCCAACTTGCTCGAATGCGTAATACCCATACCGTACTTAAGCAGTTGAACCAAATTGCAGAAATTGCGTTTCAAGTTTATTAATATTGAACCCCCCCCCCCCGATTGGTTAACCCAGTTCCCCAAAGCGCACCAAAACACCAAAACGATTCCCTTTGTTAACATATAATTTGTATATGTTTTAGGTGTTGTGATATGATTTCATGCTTAGCATTTCCGTAAGTCGTTTATCGATAGATAGTGTCGAATCCTTCTGTAGAAGATAAGGCCGTAAGATGACGTCAGCAAATAGCGCTCGTCATGAGGACAGTCGTTTCAGTCACGCGAACAATTGCATTTTTTCGTTATCATTTAGGGCGCATAGCGTGATAGTGACGAACAGGTACATTAGCGAACAGGTACTTTCCTAGAACCAAAAATCCTTGTTATGCCTTTCTATTATTAACTTTGATTATCCACAAGTTCATGTGCTCAGGCTATTCAACATTGACTATCATTCTTTTACAAGACTTCCGCTTGTCAAACATCTGTATTTGTCATGTTTGTATAAACTGTATAGGGTTACCTCTTAGAGGGTACAACACTTAGGTATATTTGTGTGTACTCTCACTTTACTCATTATTCAATTCCTTTCTGATATGGTATCACGCGTAGGTAGGATCCCCCCCACCTACCGCTTCCCCTCATGCCCCCTAGCGCCCCTCTCAGGCCCCGTCGCGCTCCTCCCAGGCCCCCTAGCGCCCCTCCTGGGCCCCGTCGCTCTCCTCCCAAGCCCCGTAGCGCCCCGTCGCGCTCCTCCCAGGCCCCCCCTAGCGCCCCTCCTGGGCCCCGTCGCGCTCCTCCTAGGCCCCGTAGCGCCCCGTTGCGCCCCTCCCAGGCCCCGTAGCGCCCCGTCGCGCCCCTCCTGGGCCCCGTAGCGCCCCTCCTGGGCCTCGTCGCGCCCCTCCTGGGCTTCATAGCGCCCCTCCTGGGCCCTGTAACGCCCCTCCCAGGCCCCGTCGCGCTCCCTCCCAGGCCCCGTCGCGCTCCTCCCAGGCCCCCTAGCGCCCCTCCTGGGCCCCGTCGCGCTCCTCCCAGGCCCCGTAGCGCCCCGTCGCGCCCCTCCCAGGCCCCGTCGCGCTCCGCCCAGGCCCCGTAGCGCCCCTCCTGGGCTCCGTCGCGCCCCTCCTGGGCCCCGTCGCACCCTGCCCGACCCCGTCGCAGCCGCCAGGCCCTGTCGCGCCCGCCCGGCGCCGTCGCAGCCGCCCGGCCCCGTCGCAGCCGCCTGGCCCCGTCGCGCCCGCCCGGCCCCGTCGCAGCCGCCTGGCCCCGTCGCCCTTGCCTGGCCCCGTCGCAGCCGTCCGGCCCCGTCGCCCCCGCCCGGCCCCGTCCCACCCTGCCCGGCCCTGTCGCAGCCGCCCGGCCCCATCGCACCCGCCCGGCCGCCGTCCCGCTCGCCCGGCCCCGTCGCACCGGCCCGGCCCTGCCGCACTCGCCCGGCCCCGTCGCCCCAGCCCGGCCCCGTCGCGCCCGCTCGGCCCCGTCGCCCCGTCCCGGCCCTGTCGTACCAGCCCGGCCTCGTCGCGCCCGCCCGGCCCCGTCGGGCCAGCCCGGGCCCCGTCCTCCTCACTGGTACGGTTCCCCCCCCGCCCCGCCCTGCTCCGTGCTGCCCCGCGCCACACTGTACTGCCTAGCACCGCACTACACCGCACTGCACCGCACTGTACCGCACTACACCGCACTGCACCGCACTGCACCGCACTGCACCGCACTGCACTGCCCTGCACTGCACTGGATTGTTCCTGATGGCGGCGGAGCTTCGCTTCGACGCTGAAGGTCAGCCCCTAGAGTTTGAGGCGTGGCTTGCCGACCTCCGCCGTCAACTCACTGGCCAGCGGCAGGATGGTGAACCGCTTTCCGCACACCTTGACGGTACTCTCCCCTGCCCAGACCCCCCTGCTCTTCTGCCCGATGACCCCACACCCACTGAGCGTGAGTCCACTGCTGCCACTGCCCGTGCGCGCTCTGTCTGGCTTTCTCGCGATGCTGTCGCCCAGCTTGCCATTAGCAATGCCCTCCCCCTGTCCGAGCGTCCTCGCTTTAGGTCCCTCACTACTGCTCAGGCCTACTTAGATGCCGTCATCAAGCGCTATTCCACCCCTCCGGCTGCCTCGGTGGGCCGCCTGATCCTCCCGATGCTCTTTCCTGACCTTGCTTCTTTCCCCACTGTCTCTGACCTCGCTGCCCACCTGCGCTCGATAGATGAGACCTGGCGCGCTGCCTGCACTGACGCCCAGCTTAGAGCCTACCAGCCGCCCATTACCTCTACCCTCTACCTGCTTGCCACCCGCCTCCCTGACCGCCTTGCTGTCGCCCGCGACCGCTTTCTTAGCGTTCACCCCGCAGACCTCACCCTCACTGACTTTGTAGACACCCTGACTGTGATAGAGACCCGTCACCGCTCCATTGCCCAGGCGAGCGGTGTCGTGCCGGTCCCTATCTTTCAGGGTTGTGCCCCCGCTCAGTGCACCTTCTCCGACGGCTCTGCCGCAGTGGCTGAGACTGCTGCTGCAGCGCAGGTTCGTTCGGGGAAGGGCCGCCGCCCCAAGGCTGGGCGCGGCGGAGGAGGCAGCGGGGGTGCGGGCGGGGGTAGTGGTGGGGTCGGGTCGCCTGGTGCTGGAGTGGACGAAGGGACCTTGCCCAGTTCAGCTGAGTCGCCGCCCCTGCAGGTGCAGCAGCCGCAGCAGCCGCCGCAGTCGCAGCCTTCGCAGCAGCCGCAGCAGCCGTCGCAGACGCGGCAGACGAGTGTCCTCCCGCCAGGGTGGCCCGGCGCTGGCGGTGGACGGGCGCGTGGTGGTGTGCCGCGTGGTGGCTCTGGCGGCGGGCGTTGTCAGTACCAGATCCAGACCGGTCCTCGCCGCGGCTTCGTTTGCGGTAAGCTCGGTCACTCCACTCCCCGCTGTTTTCGTCGCCTGGACGACCTCTTTCGTCAGCGCTTCGGCCCGTCGCCAGACCTCCCGGACTGGCACAGTTTGCTTAGTCGTCAGATTCAGATCTTTGATATGGACATGGATGCCATTGTTTCTGCTTTGCATGTGATGTATGCTGATGACTCTAGTGTGCTTCCCGCTTATTACTCACTGTTGCCTAGTGTATGTGTGCCTAGCTTAGCCTCCCCTGCTGCGTCAGGCGTAGGATCCCCTGCTTTGTGTAGTCTTGGTGCTTCCGCCGTCGTTCCGTCGCCAGACCCCTCGGCTTCGCTTTCCTTCACCTTGGACTCTGGCGCCTCTCGGTGTTTCTTCCGCGACTCCACCACCCTGACGCCGCTTCCTGTTCCTGCTGCCGTTTCTCTTGCTGACCCCTCCGGCGGTCCGGTAGTCGCTCGCAGTTCCACCACCCTTCCCTGTCTGGCGGTTCCTTCGGGTTCTCTTACAGGTCTGCATATCCCCTCGTTCTCCAGGAACCTAGTTGGTGTCGGCTGCCTCCAGGACCTTGGCGTCACCACTACGTTCCCTGGTCACGAGCGGTATGCTGTCTGTACCGAGGCCGCCACTGGTGCCCCCCTGTCCACGTTCCCCCGGGACCCGGTGTCCGGCCTGTTCACTCTGGACACCGTGACCCCCCCGGCTGGAGCGCCCCCTCAGGTGGCTGCGTCTACCCAGGTTGCTGCTGCCTGCTCCTGTCGCTCCCTCACTCATCCGACCCTTCTGTGGCACCACCGCCTAGGTCACCCTGCGCTCCCGCGTCTGCGTCACATGTCTCAGCACGGTCTCGTCCTTGGTCTCCCAGTTTCGCTCCCCGCGTTTCCCTCCTCTCCAGCCCCACCTTGCACGCCTTGTGTCGAGGGTCGGGATCGCCGTGCCCCTTACTCCTCCTCGTTTCCCCCTACTGCCGCGCCGCTGCAGACCCTGCACCTGGACGTCTGGGGCCCCGCCCCCGTCCCTGGGCCGCGTCGAGAGCGCTACTTCCTTGTGCTTGTCGACGACTTCACTCGTTACACCACAGTCTTTCCCCTGGAGCGCAAGGCCGACGTGCCTGGCGCTCTCATCCCCTGGCTTGTCTCTGCGCGTGTCCACCGCGGTCTCCCTGTCTTGCGTCTTCACTCAGACCGTGGTGGCGAGTTTGCCTCCGGTGTCCTTGGTCGCTTTTGTCGTGCGGAGGGCATCACCCAGACGTTCACCCTACCGGACTCCCCACAGCAGAATGGGGTCGCTGAGCGACGCATCGGTTTGGTCATGGAGGTGGCTCGCACCTCTATGATCCATGCCGGTGCACCCCATTTTCTGTGGCCGTTCGCTGTGCGCTACGCTTCTCACCAGCTTAACTTGTGGCCGCACCCTCAGCAGCCGCAGGTTTCGCCGACCCGTCTTTGGACTGGGTCTCCTGGTGACGCGTCTGCGTTCCACGTCTGGGGCTGCCTTGCTCACGTCCGTGCCTCCGGCACGGACAAGCTCACTGCCCGCACCCTTCCCTGCGTCTTCCTCGGTTTTCCCCTTGACGCGTCCGACTGGCACTTTTACCACCCGCCGTCTCACCGCTTCTTTCACTCTCGTGACGTCACCTTTGCCGAGTCTGTCTCCTACTACCGCCGCTTTCCCCACCGTGGTCCCCCGGTTACCCCCCCCCTGTTCCTGGTCACCCCTTCCCCGGTAGTCCCTGCCCCTCCTCCTCCTCCTCCCCGTCCCGCCCCCTCTGGTGTGTCCCATGTCACCCCCCTTCCGTCCGTGGACCCGGTTGAGGAGTCTTCTGACTCTGGTGGCCCTCCTGTGCAGTCCTCGCCGGCCGCCCCTCCCCAGGTGTCCCCTCCCCAGTCCCCTCCTCCACCGCCACTACCGCTGCTGCAGCCGTCGTCGTCGCCGCCGCCGCCGCCGCCGTCGCAGCCCCCGTTCGCTGACTCTGGGGGTGCTCGTCCCGGTCGCCCTGGGGGTGGTCCCTCTGGGGGTGCTGGTGTGGAGAGTGCCGGTGGTCGCCGAGGAGCAGCTTGCGGTCCAGGTGTCACCGTTGTGCCGCCGCAGCAGCGGTCCCCGCCGGTGTCCGCCCTTCGCCTGCTCGGCCTTCCGTCCCCCGACCCTGCGTCGGTTCCTCCCCGACCGTCTCCTCCTCTTCCTGTCTCCGGCCCTGTTTTCCC